AATGGACCATGCTACTTTCGGGTCGAATACATACCAATAATAGTTATGGGCTTAGACACCTAATCCAACAACACATTCATCCTATATTCACTCTCGAGAGAGTGGCTAACCATTCCTCAACTGGCTTGCTACACCCATATTGATTCATGAAACTTCCACCAAACCTGCAGCCACTCGTGCATGCTAATGATACATAATGGTGGATCCCATAGAAAGTCGAATCCTTGATTATACCCTAAGCCCACAATAAAACAAGGAACATGAAATAAGGCTAAACCAAACATTCTCAAGCTATAGAGTGTTAGTTATGTACAATGATGATGCACACACTAAGCAACTACATTAATGATATCAATTTCATCTAACATATAAGAAGTTCTCCTAGGCTATCAAGCATCATACATCAAACAATTCTATCATGCAATTCTTGAGGATCCATAACATGCAATTCTATCATAAACATCATAAACATCATAAACAAATAAGAGTTTGGGTAACTTGGGGTATACTTTCTTGCTTCGGCTGATCATACACATCTCATCCTTCCTTTGTTACTCTTGAAAAAAAAAATTGAAAACCATTTTGAAAACTCTTACATATCCATAGTTTGAGTCTGGAGTTACACAAATACTCATCCAATTATCTCAAACAAGGGATTTGATCCAACTTGTAACATCCTAAGATCACAATAAAAATTTTCACTTTTAAATTAAAGAGTAATCATTGTTTTCAGTCAAACCCAACCACGAAAAACCCAAGATCAAGAACAATTGTTCCAAAATCAATGTATCATAACATCTCCAAAACATATCACCAAAAGATGTGTATGATCACGCCTTTGCTGTCCCCCGATCATCTAAAGTACCCAAAACATACAATTTAAACTATAAGCCAAAGCTTAGTGAGTTCCCCCAAAGTACCACACACAACCAATAAAGATAACAACGTGCATATATGAGCCTTCAGCCTGAGTGGACCGCCTCGCAGGCCTACAACCTATCTGGACCACTCTTCGGTATTTCGGCCTAACTGGACCGCCTTGAGGGACTTCAGTCTATCCATACCGCCCCAGGTATCTTGGCCTTTAGCACAAAGCAGGACTGCCTTAACCCAACAAACCACAACATGTTGACATACACAATGATAATCAATAATCATCAACACATATAATTATACAGATCTACCAATCTCACGCATACCCAGTGAACACATGTAGTCAAACAGGTCTACCAATATAACACATACTTAGCATAACATCAGTCCAGTATACCAGGATACATAATCCAGTGGCTAGCATTGGTGACTTTGACCCACAAGTACAGTGAGGAAAACTCACCTCACAGTCTGAAAGGTAACAGAAATGAATGTTGCTCTGAAAGCCAACAGTACAAGTCACATATACAATAAACAGTGACTTAATCTCAATATACTACTCTCAATACCGAAAATACCCCTAAGTCAAATTTGGTCAAAGTCAATGGTCAACGGTCAAAAGTCAAATTTAACTCCAGTTGGTCGTCATGTCGTGGCCATCCCTGGCCACGGCGTGGTAGCCAAAGGACAAAATAGTAATTTCTACCCCATTCACCATGCTGTGGCGACCTAAGGCCACGTTGTGGACACTGGGTTCTGAACAACTTAATTGGTTAAGTCATTTTCTTCAAGTCTAAGAGCTCCACAGCCTAGATTTGGTCCATTCTATTGTCTAAATGGATAAAGTTTCAAACTTTATCCCTTAAGACCCCTCAATAAGTCAAGATCCCACACCCTAACTCCTAAGGATAACTTAATGCATCAAGACTCTCATTCAGCACCCAATCCTTAGATTTGCACCTCCAAAGATTTCCAAAATGACTTCATACTCCTAATAAACCCTAAAAATCGTAGCTTTATGGACATGCATGTCCAATGCATGTCCTTTCCATTTTAGGTCCAAATGAGGGTTTTTGGTGAAATCCCCCATGCATGATGCTAAAACTCAATATTACTCTAGATCCAAAGCATATAAGGCCCAAAATGGCTTGGAGATTCATAAAGTTGCAAACTTTATGAGACCCTACCACTCAAATCCATCAAGACATGAAGAAAAATGGAAAAAATCAAGAGATCTAGTAACATGGCAAGAAAAGTTTGGATCTTGGACACTCACCAAGGTCCAGGAGATGTGCTAGCTGAAGAAAATGATGCTTACCAAGTAACTACTACACCAAGGGTTTCCTTCTCCTAAAACAATAACCAAAAAGCACCAAGAATGAGCTCACAACTTCAATGGAGGCTAGGGTTAGGGTTTATGAGTTTGAGATGGCGATGTAGGTTGAATGATAACGAAACCCTAGCCTTAATGTTCTTTATATAGGACCTAAATCCCAAAATTAGGAGTTTTCACTAAAACACCTGCCACACCATGACACCTAAGGCCACACTGTGGCAAATCATTTAAACTCCACGGTCCAGAACTTTCCACCGCATCGTGGTGATGCTCCAACATGTCGTGGCCACCCAAATTAGAGTTAATACATAAAACAGTTGATTCATACATGGAACGGATGTTACAGTTTTGAACTCTTTTCTCTTCCTTGTTGTACCTAGGCACAAACTTCTGCTATAGTAATTGTTGTTATTGGAATATCATTGCATAGAGACGATATCACCTTTGTTAATGACATCAAGCATGTCATAGTCCATGATCTCGAGAACATCCATTGCCTTTAATTTCCATGCAGCGAAGTTGTGTTCATCGGAAGGAGGGATCTTGCTAACAACAGACGACTTTGGATTATGAGAGGAAGACAAGATAACTTGAATATATCTTAAACCTGCTCTGATCCCAATTAAAGGTTTGTATCGATCTAATACACTGAAGTATGAATAATGAAAAACAAAGAACAAGATGATCACAAAGACACTTTCACTAAGAAAGAGGATTCTCATAAAGAGAACATGTCACAAAGACGGTACAAAGCTCTATTAGGGTTTGACCCTAATAGTATACTATATACTATTATAGAAAAGGAGATCCCATAATTTTAGGGATGTACACTTCTATATGTAAGGGTCTGATCCTAATCACTAAGATTACATATCAGACATTTGTTCTATATATACAAATAATATATTCCTGATATACAAACGATTACTAAGATCATTGAGCTCATGTTGCCGCTGATGCCAATGATGGCGCTAGTGCAGCTGCTGGTGGACAGTGTGTAGTATTTGACTCATCATATCATAAGGTGTGACCTTACAATTTAACACATGGAATACGTTGTGCACACCACTGAGTTCTTAGGGTAACTTGAGCCGATAAGCTACTGGACCAATTCGTTTGAGGATATCAAATGGTCCTATGTATCTTGGATTTAGCTTTCCCCGCTTTTCGAATTTTATGACTCCCTTCCAAAAGGATACCTTTAGCATAACCCTGTCTCCAACTTGGAATTCAAAGGGTTTGCGTCTGACATCGGGGTAGCTATTTTGAAGACTACAAGCGGTCTTTAAATGCTCTCGTATTTGCACGATCTTCTCAGTGGTCTCATGGATAATTTTTGGGCCTGTTAGCAAGGTATCTCCTAGGAATTCTTTTGCTACTTGCGTATCTCCCATTTCTACCAAGTATTATGGTGATCGACACTTACGACCATATACAGCTTCAAATGGCATAGCCTTAATGGTGGTGTGATTCATATTATTGTATGAGAACTCGATCAAGGCTAAATGAGTATCCCATGCATTTCCAAAATCTATCACACATTCCCTGAGCATATCCTCCAACGTCTGTATTGTCCTTTCACTTCGACCGCCGGTGTGAGGATGATAAGGTGTGCTCATATCTAGACGGGTACCAAGATATTTCTATAGACTTTTCCAGAATCGTGATGTGAATCTACTATCTCTATCTAAGATAATGGATAACGTAACCCCATGTAATTTGACTATCTCTCGAAGATATGTTCTGGTCATCTTCTCCATCTTATCCATCTTATTCTCCTTGATTGGTTGGAAGTGGGCGGACTTGGTCAATCTATTAACCACTACCCATATACTATTGTAACCACTAGATGTTCTTAGTAGTTTTGTTACAAAGTCGATTGAAATTTGTTCCCACTTCCATTATGAGATTTTTGGTTGTTGTAACAACCCTGATGGCTTTGGTGTTCCGCCTTGACTTTCGAACAAGTCAAGCACTTGCCTACATATGTAGCAATATCTGCTTTCATATTTGGCCATCAATAAAGATTCTTCAAATCTAAGTACATCTTGTTAGCTCCAGGGTTAATGTAATATCTTATCTTATGAGCTTCATTCATGAGTAGTTCCCTAGTATCACGAAATTTTGGAACCGAAATTCGATTCATGAGATATATCGCTCCATTTTCCGTAACTTCAAGTAGCTTTTCCATTCCTCACAGATCTTCCATACTTATGTTTTCTCCTGTGAGATCATTAATATGAGCATCTAAAATCTGTGTGGTCAGATTGGACTGGATAGTCATGGTGAGTACTCTAACTCTTCGGGGTTTGACTCGCTCCTTTCGACTTAAATCATCAACTACTACATTGGCTTTGCCTGGGTGATAACGAATCTCACATTCATAGTCATTAAACAACTCTACCCATCTTCATTGTCTCATGTTGAACTCCTTTTGATCAAAGATGTGCTGAAGACTCTTGTGATCCGTGTAGATTGGCATTTTGTTCCATAAAGGTAATGACACCATATATTTAGGGAAAAAACTACAGCTCCCAACTCCAATGCATTACTTGATTTTATTATGATTCGTTTCAAACAATGTTTGAATTAGGAAATTGGTTTAACCATCATTGCTACTATCATCGGATTTGATTTGTACGAAGGCTGGTATTCTTTTTATTGTCGCGATTGTTCCAAAAAAGTTGCTAAAAATCATGATGATAGTGTTGCTGAACCTTTTAACTGTGATGGTTGCGGGGAAGATTCTGATGTATATGGCAAGTAAGTACATTCTTTACTCTTGAACTATGTTTGCCTTAATTTTTTTTCATATTTTACCCACTAATTCTAGTTATTATAAGTGTTATGTTATAATTGTTAGGATCAGGTTCGTATTTTCATGTTCAAGATGAAAGTGGGTCTTCTTCCTTTGTATTGTTTGAGCGCCATGTAAAAGATCTAATTCACCGTGGTAAACAATGGTTTATGGAAAAAAAATTCAAAGGTTTGCTAATATATCTCCATTGTTTAAAAGATTGACAAATTTTAAATACTTTTCTTTAAATGTTCCAATTCTATATGTGTTTTAAAATTAGGATCAAGGACTTCAAAATCTCCCTGATGAGTTCAAAATCCTTCTCAATAGAAAGTTTGTCTTCAAAGTTCAGATCTCCCTCTTCAATCTTGAAAACAACTATCTCGCTTACACTGTGTATAAGTTGACTGATGATGAAAGTGTACTTGCTAAGGTTTTCAAACGTTCACCTGCGTATGAACAACAAATTGTTGATGATGATAGTACTTCTGTTAACATGACAAATAAGGTGAAATTTTTCTGCATAAACTTAAAATTTTAAAACTCTCAATGAGATCACATTTTTTTACTAATCCTTTTAAACATTTGTACAGGAAAAGTCTGATTCGGTCCATGGTGATAATCTTGAGGTTGTTGATCTTGAATCTTTAACACCATCACCCAATGCGGGCAAACGCCCTATCGATATTGTCGCAACCACCGACTCTTTAGAGTTGTCTTCTTCTAAAGCTGGTGCTGGTCCAACTGCTCTGAAGATCCCTAAAATGGAAATTTTTGAGTGATTTGAAGCAACATGTCAACGATTTACCGTTCATTTTAAAGATTTTTACATACCTTTTCTCTTTTAATAATTGTGTGTCGCAATTTTTTATTGTTGGTTTATGGATATGTTGGTCAAGTCTTTTGGTTGTGTTTGGAATAATCGTGTTGTTGTTATTGGGTCTTTAGACGATGTTATTCATCTTACTTAAGACAATTTCAAAGGTTTGTTAAATAATTAATATGATTGATATGATTGTTTCGTGTTATTAAGTATTTTGTATCTTCTACTTTCATTTGTGAATTTATTTTATAGCATTTATTTTGTGTACACTTTAATTTTAAATGATGCACTAACATATGCCGAATTCCTACAAATTGACTTTAAATATATTATTCAATATACACCTTTAATTTATTATCAGTTAATCACATTTATTGAGTATTTGTAAGTCTACAACTTTTCTTCTCCATAACTGGTATTTTTAACGTTAATATATTTATCACATACTAAATTTTATTTTATTTAAATAAATATAAATATGTTGCATATGGTAACATAATAAAACCTTATAAAATCTATTCCAAAACTATTTTTGTAAATTGCATTAATTGTCTCCATAATTGTTGCTATAAATTAAATTATACATAATTTCAACCCTTATATATTTATCACATACTAAATTTAATTTTAAATATCAAGTTTCACATTAATATATTTATCACATACTAAATTTTATTTTATTTAAATAAATATAAATATGTTGCATATGGTAACA